CAAGCAGTGCATCTGTGTACGAGAGTGAAAGTAAAAATTTACTGAAAAAATATCAGAAGCCTTAATTTATTTGAGGGGGGTTTAAATCATTATTTTGTTGTTGTTATTATTTTCTTTTAATTTATACATTATACCTATTATTGTTCTATCTTCAACAATCAGCATTTCGAGTCTAAACATTCACAAGGCCTAGACTCTTCTTCGTACATTTTCTGTTTGCTATTTTTAAGCTTCCGGTTTGTAAACATGGCCGCCCCCAGTAACTTCTTCGACCTCCACTGGTTGCGATAAACGTATACAGTGAAACGACTTCATTTTCGAGGTATACCGATTTCTCCCTGTTAGCACGGCTCTTTCTTAATGCGTTCTCCTTTTCAAATTATATTCTCATCAGATGGCTTCGAGCCAAAAAGCGTTTTATGATGACTTTAGTACTTTCTTCATCAGTTACGTCGGCAACATTTCATCTGCGTCTCCACTCACTGACACTGAACTCACTCTCACTCACTGACACTCCAATCCAGTTCATGGCAATAACTGAAAACCCGCAGTTGAAACAGTTTTACTGACGGGTCCGACGAACTGCGCTTTCACAACAAACACTCAGATGAGTGACAGTTTTTCTAGGTTAACTTAATGACAACGGCTGAACGACCAAATGTAAATTTTAATGAATGGCCACCTCTATTCTCACCCCGGGTGAGAATAGCGCAGGCGAGTCTTTTGGCTATTCTCACCCGGTGGGCGTTCACCATTATAGTATAGCCTAGGCCAACCAGTTAAACGTTCACCCTGAACCACAGAATTCTACACTCTCTCTCTCTTTAGCTATCTCTATCTTATAATACGTTCTATTACTACTGTTAGTGTTAGCCTAAAAGCGTGCAATTTTGTCTGTGGGCAGTGGAGAGAGAGAAAGAGAGAGAGAGAGGAGTAGCGCAAGAACTTCCGGGCAAAACAAAATGGCGACCCGTGTAGTTCAGTAGTTCGGCTCGATTCGAAAGTTAAACAGCCGTAGCATCTTTGTAGACGACCAAATTAATTTACTTTTGTGTTTTAACATCATTTTTAAACTTTGTTTTGGTCAATTTGATCGTCCGCACCGATAGACAGTATTCGGAAAGAGACAGAGAGAGGGGGGAGGAGTAGGTCTTGCGAGAACTTCCGGGCAAAACAAAATGGCAACCCGCGAAGTTCGGCTCGATTCGAAAAGGGAAATAGCCATAGCACCTTTGAAGACGATCAAATTAGCTTACTTTTGTGCTATAACGTAATTTTTTCTTGGCTTTTATCAATTTGATCATCCACACCGATAGAAAGTATTCCGAAATGAGGAAAAACAGGTCTTGTTTCACACCGGGTGAGAATAGCCTACGCTGGCAAATCTCACCCAGGGTGAGAGGTAGATCGTATTTCTATTCTCACCCCGGGTGAGAATAGCCACTTCCAATAGTAGTAGTCTCCGCCTAAGATCCCACCACTTACGATCCCGGTTCACTTAAGATCCCGCTGTTTTAAGAAAGGAAGTGGCTATCCTCACCCGGGGTGAGAATAAAAATATACACTCTTCTTTGCTCGCCATACGTCATAAATCCACCAGTTCATTTTAGAGTGGAGGGAGACCATTTTACAGATTGTGAGCGTTAGCATGGGTAACCATAGATCTTCCCTGGGTTCGTCGGTTAAGATCCCGGTTCGCCAAAGATCCTCCATTTCCTTGCTCCCGAGCACAGGGATCTTAGACGGAGACTACTGTATTTATAACATTTTATCTTTTAGGCCGCCTCTATTTCTCAGAACACTCGGGAAAATAAACTGGAACTCTATTTCTCCGAACGCTTTCTGTTCTCGAGATTTGTTGATCATTTGCGAATGGAGTGGCTGGTGCACGCGTGCATGTATGTGTGTGTGATTGAGTGTGTGTGTGTGTGAGTGAGTGTGTGTGTGTGTGAACAAGGCGCGGGGGCGGGGTGGAGGGATTTTTTTTTGGTTTACATGAAAGATTTTGGTGTTTGCTTTAGGGGTAACTAAATTCAAATAGGTTACTGCCTAGGTCGAGCAGTCCTGTTTTCTTGCAGTACCTTTGGAAGGCATTTTCAAATGAAGTATAGTCCGGAAATGTTGCCCTAACCACAACTGAAGTATGCTTCTTCCCAGTCCTCGCAGAACGGCAGAATAAAAGATGACGCCTAAATCTCTCAAATAACCAAAAAATCTCGAGAACGGAAACCGTTTGGAGAAATAGAGATCAAGTTTATATTCCCAAGCGTTTGGAGAAATAGTCGAATCTTTTATCCCTCATGTGCGTTCAGACCAAAGCAACATCAACGGCCGAGTGTTAAACTTAATATCTAGATCTGGTCTGGTCAGCGCAGTTAGTTGTGTAAACTGTAAGGGTAAGAACGACTGTCGCTAGTCCAAGTGTTTGGTGTGAACGCGTGGTATATAGACCTTGGATGAGACTTGTTTTGAAAATAACAGCGGAACTACAAATATTTTATATATTGATTATTTGTATGAGGCAACTGTAACAGTTATCAAGCTATCATCAGAGAATTTTTAGTGCGGACAAAGATCGAACTCAACTTGGGACGAGTCAACGACCCAATCCAGCATCGATATTTCGGAAAATAGTGCTCCAAGTTCCTACTGACAGAAAGTCCAACGGTTGCTTCCCACGATTGAGAAGAGGCAGTGTAAGATTTCAGAAAATCCGGCGCAGCAGACTGGAACAAAAATCAGGATACACGTGATCGAAATCTGGAAAATCGGGATGCTTGAGATTTGGGGGGAAAAATTGGGATATCCCGACTAATTTTGGATGAGTTGCAGGTCTGGTTTCGGTTATCAACCTAATTTCATTAATTATTTTCCCAATTTTTGCAGAAAATTGGCTCAAATTCACAAAATCACGAAAATGGCAAAAGTTGCGCTGAGGGCAAAAGTTGCCTGTTCAAGTTGGGGTTTGCGGGCGTGAATTCCTCTGGGGACAGGGCCTACACACGTTTTGGAATGTTGGTGTATTTTTTTTTGGCTAACTGAAAAACTATCATCCTTGATAAATATACAAAGACATGCAATTGATTTCCATGGTGGAAGTTATTTGGGGGATTCCAAGAGTTTATGAATGCAGTTGATCCCCTAAAATTTGCAACTTTCAGGGTCAGCTAAATAGAGAAAAAAATGAAGCCCTGTCCCCAAAGAAAAAAAAAGCCAAAAGCACAAACCAAAAACAGAAGAAAAAACATGTTTTAATTTAAAAAACAACGGCAGTAGACACACCTCAGACTAATGCATACTGGCCTGCTACTACATTTTGTGGCCTTTTATAGTCAAAATAAAAGTGACTGACATTATTACTGTAGGCCTAAAAAACTTTTGTTTGACCTGTCCATTTGTTGAATTTAGTAAATACTGCTCGTACTTATTGATATTGGACTCTCTTAGTCGATAAAGTACTCGATATTGACCAGAATCCACTAGTGCCCATCCCTAGTCAGGGGGACATGCCTGCCTGAAACCCCCCAGATTTTAAAAAAAACGTTGTCTGACTTATAAGTATAGAAAAGTCAGTATCCCCTCTTTTCTGGTTTGTCAACTCAATTTCATCTATTGTTGAAATTGTCTAAGAGTAGACGATCACTTATTGTTGTCAAAGATAAAAAGTGGTCGTTTTTAACAGGTGGGCATCTAACTTATATAATGTTATTATTATGGAAAACAAATGTTAGGGGAGGGGGGAGTGATGAGAAGTGTCCGTTTGTACAGATGATTGTCAACGTGGCCATTAGAACAGGTCCGACTGTGTAACTTCTAGCTTTGCATTTTACAATACAATAAAGGATCTATTGCTTAAGTGGTGTCTGTGGCCTAATGGCTAGGTTGTCAAGCTCGTAACAGGAAGTTCTTTGGTTTCTTTTAGCCCTGTCAGTGGCTCAACATTTGGTCCTTAGGAAAGGCACTTTACACACTGATTTTATTTTCACTTCACCCAGGTGGGAATGGATAATCCAGCTATAAACAGCGAAAGATTTTGTTAGTTTATTAATGTTGGAGGTTTTTAAAAGTGCACTGTATGCTTCCTGGGAAGCAGAATGTTTCAAGTGTTCTGGGGTTTGCTGGGGAGGTAGTAGTTGTGAAGCGCATAGAGCATGCTTTAGAACATATATATGCACTATATATATTTAGAAATATGCATTTAAATTTATTATTAATTTCATTATGTAGAGATGATAAATTGAAATACGGAATTTAAAAAACCCTTTTTTGTTGTTTATTTACACTTGTTATCGTTTTAAACTTTATGAGGTGGGAATTTTAATCTTTTACATTAAATCCTTTTGTTTGTTTTATCATTTCAAATGTGGCCACTTGCCAATCCTGTGTCAGGCCAAAATCCATCACTAACAGTTTTTGTTTTCTCTTTTTTCCAGAAAAACAAAACGCCCTTCGAATGAACCTTTTATCTCCTGAGTCATCATGTCTACCTTTCGAGCAGCAGTGCGCTTAAGACCAACAGGATGGACGAGGGCATTCAGGAGTAATAGGTGAGGGAGAGGAGTGTAATGTGTCACAAGGCATTTCAGACTTGGTACTTGTTTGCATTGTCCAGCACTTATATTTCTTATAGACTGTGACTTGAGTGTGAACCCTATAGCTACATATAATGTTGGATATTGAAGAGGTGAAGCCTGCAACTTACAATCTTTCTTTCACTGGTGTAGTATTTCTTTACTTTAAAATTTCATTAAATGATGTAGACTTTTGACACTATTCATCAAGGTTTTGCACTAAGTGACTACGGTCACCTTTGCCTTTGTCAAGTATTACTCCCTGATCTACAGGCACACACGCGCACCTCAACTCTTTCAGAGTCCAAAAGGAATAATGGTATGTCCGTCTCTGCACTAAGTGAGAGGTCTATACAGCTTGTCGTTTGTTCATCACAACGTGTTGTAACTATTCTGTGGGATCTGGAGCTGAAAAGAAAAACAGGTACATGAATGGAGACGAAAGTGACAAAAGCTTATTTCACAGACAATGTTGAATACAGTGTAGACTGCATTATCATGCTGTTGAAAGTTCCAAAATGCATAGCAATATAAGGCAATGTCAGGAACAGACAGAGTTTGTTCAAGTGTGACTTGATTGTTTGTCATCTCCACAGAGATCATGACCATCTTCTTCACTATCCAGCTGTCAGCAATGGTCAAGGATTTCAACTTTTGGTCAAGAATGCAACCTTGATAAAAAATGGGGTATGTTGTTTTCTAAGCGTTTGTTTTACTTTGTATGATGATAAAAGACATCAATAAATGATTTGTTTTAAATCAGGTTGCTATTGTAACCAGGTTTAAACATGCACTGTCTTTAATTTTCTGTAAATTTTAATTTCTTTGGGCCCAGTATTTGTTCTTCCTATTAAAGACCAATCTTTTTCACATTAAATTTTCAGCTGAATTACAATATAGGCGCTCAACCAGGATTTTTTTTTGTAAGTAAGTGTTAATGAGAATGTATTGGTTTTCCAAAAAAAACTCTTTGAGAAAAGAAAGAAAAATATGACCTTGCTACTGACAAATCTTTGATTTCTCAACAGGTAAGCAAAAATCATGGAGGAAAGGTCTGTCAGCTATTGACAAGACAAATAAGAGTCAAAGCATGTACATAAATCACTCCCATCAGTTATAAGGATAAGTATACTCCGGTATTTATAAATCTTTGCCCTCTCTGTGTGTTCTGTGACAGCATGGCAGGACGTGTTGTGCAAGTTGGGATTGCTAAAATAGTCTCAGGAGTGGTCAAGTGTGTCTTGAACATAATTTTGTAATGACAAATTGTGGATGCGGTTCTGTTCTATGGTCATTTTCTCATCATGGGCCATTCTCTGGTTTCCTGACAATTGAATGATTTTCTCTAAGATCGGTCTAGTTTTTGAGTGACAGAGATATATGGGACTCGTTTCATAAAATAGAAATATTGATAGAAATAAAGTATAACTACCATTTTGAATGTCTTCAACCTAGTTCATAGATCCAGGGTCACTGTGAAGGGTGCAGCTGTGTCTTATATGAACAGGAAACAGCAAGCTGTTATCATTGTTATGCACAAAAGCATGAGGGGGTTATTCTTTACTTTTACTGAAAGTTTCACTTTTCAGATTTTGGTTGTCCTGTACATAAATCACTCCCATCATATTGGAATATTATATTTTCAGATGTGTACTTCAAGTGTCCGACCTTGCAGCTCGCAGGGAGTGAGTGACTCTAGTGGCTCAGGGAGCGGCCCGTCATCTGCGTCTGGTACTGTGACTTCTGACAGTGAGCCAAACGTGTTTGACGAACTGTTCCCGTCGGTGAACTTGTCCCCTAGGTTTGTGAAAGACGCAGAGTACCGGCTGTACGAGTGGGGTCGTCAGGTCAAGGAGGAGCAGAACCGTAGCCAGGTAGTAGACCTGTCAGCTATTGTCTCACAAAACTTCTCCAGCGTGGTTGATTTCTCGCTGAGTGTGGCCTCGCCACCTCACTTTCGGCACCGTTGCCTACTTATCCTCCTCTCGCAGCCAGATGACCTTGAGGCCACGGAGAGGCTGCTGAGTCAGACAGTGCGAGAGGCTGTGACCCTGCCGCTCAAGGTCGTGGCTGATGTGGTTCTTGCATTGTCTTCCGCAGCTAGTACACCACTGAGGGACAAAGCACGTCGCGACTTGGTGCAAGCCGTGGTTAACAAGCGATGGTACGAGGTGGGGCCCAGACATGCAGTCTTCTTCATGTACCAGCTTGATGACCTTTTTGACATGCGCCGAGTCTCCTCCCAGCTGCGGTTACGACACAAGACAACTGCGTTCCCTAACACAAGGAACAAGGCACAAGGGCAGAGTGCTCCTCCAGATGCCAAGAGTGCTGAAGAAAGTGCTGAGGAAGGTCAAGCTTCAGCTGCAGCAGGAGGGGAGGAGGAGGCAATCCCCATACTTAGCATGAACCTGGAAGCTCGGGCCATCACTCTGGCAGACCAGCTCAAAGTGAAAGACTTGTCACGGGTTGTGGTGCTAATGGGCAAGTGGAGGAGTCGCAATGAGCCTCTCCTCAATGCAGTGCTTCACCGCCTGACCCAGGCAGATCTCAGTGAGTTCAGCTTTGCACAGCTCAGCAACCTGCTGTTCGCCTGCTCCGTGCTGCGACTGCACAACAGCGCCTTCCTCAGCAAACTGTCAGCCCAGCTGTGTGAGTGCCCGGCCCCAAGTGCAGCCGCTGCCTGCTCTGTGGTTACCTCCCTCTCTCACCTGCGATGGCGCGACCTGCAGCTCATAGGCCAGATCCTGAATGACATGGCAGATAAGTTGGACCATATGACCGCCCGTGAGGCCATCAATTTGGTTGTCTCTCTGGGGAATCTGTACCCTGCTCCACTGAGCGACTCTCAGGCACGCACTCTCACAGGTCAGAATCACGCATGCATGTTCATAGGGCAGTACCATTCACACTTACAGGTTTATAAAATACACAGTGGCAGGTCAAAAGGATAAATGCACAACCTTTCTCAGATCAGGATCACTCGTGCATTCAAAGTCTCTGAGGTCAGTGCAATCCACTAACAATCACAAGTCGAAATTTTACATGAAGAGCACAGGGGGAAAACAACATTAGTCACAAACTGGAAATTGTGAAGGTGCCTATTTTAAAAGCTTGTGGACTCATAACTTCATATTTGTTTGACTGGTGGTTTATTGTTAAATGTTGTTGAATGGGAAATCTAAATACAATAATCAAACAACAATTCAACAGAAATACAGTTATAACTCAACAAGTGTTACAAATTGGTACCCTCTCAATTTTCAGTTTGTGACTACCATCGTTTTTCCCCTGTAGTCTTCACATGCTTTCAATTGCAAAGACTTACAACCTAAAACTTAACTTGCAATATCTACCCTTTTTCTTTCCGGACTTTTGTTAGAGGAAGGACAAAGAAAATATTAAAATATGGAATTCAAGGCTTGTCGGTTATTGTTGGAAAGAGAAAAGAGGAGCAACTCCGGGGGGGGGGGGGGGGGGGGGGGGGGGGTTCAAGGCTTGCATGAGTACTGTTCCCTTTGTAGGGCAAAAGTTATAATGGAGACAGGATAGGAGTAGCTTCTGATGGGTGGAGCTTTGAACTTCATGGTAGTATAAGAAAACCTTTAGTTTTATGTTGAAGTGAAAGCAGGAAGAGGTTCTGATGGGTGTGGGTTCAAGAATGGGGCTTGTGATGTGCGCAACTTCCCTGTTTGTGTGAAGTTGGAGAGGGAAAGAGGTTCTAATGGATGGGGGTTCAAGGCTTCAGTGGGCACCTTCCCCTTGTGTGTGTTTTTTTTTTTTTTTTTTTTGTAGAGGAAGAATAGGAGAAGATTGTTATTGATTTTGGGTTTGAGAATTTCGGAACACAAGCTTTATCACAGAGAGAAAACAGGAAGCGGTTCTGATGGGTGGAGGTTTGGACATGTTTCCCTTCCCTTGCTTTGTGGTTCATTGGAGAGAAGAAAAAAAAAGATGAAAAAGACTAAGTCTGGAAGGGGAGGGGGGGGGGGGGGGTTCAACATGTTCTGCTTGTCTGCTTCACTATTAGTGAAACATTCAAAAAGTCTCTAATTTTTGTCCCCCACAGACCTGTCCAGCAAACTGTTGCCGGGAGAGAGCAACCCCTCTGACCGAGTGTCAGTTGTTCACAGTCTGGCTGTGCTGCGGCTGTTGAATCCTGAGCTGGCCGCATCCATTTTTGATCCAGACTTCGTGCAACAGTTAAAGGGTGAGTGTGTGCGATGGGTGAACGATGTGTGTGTGAGTGTGTTTGTAGGTATAACAGTCGACAGTTAAGTGTGCGTGACAGATGAGTGTACGGTATGTATGTTTGACAACGGAGTGTGTGTACTGAGCGATAAAAGTGAGTGTATGCGATAGGTGTATGCATGTGTAATGGATTATGAGTAAGTATTTGTGAGGGATGATAAGTGAGTGAGTGTGATGATTGATATGTGATTGTTTGAGACGGATAATAGGTGAATGTGTATGGGGGTGACTGGTGAATATATAATATATATACATTATATATATATATTGTGATGGGTGACATGTGAATATGGATGTTGTGGGTGACAAGTAAATGTGTGTGACAGATGGGTATTGAGTGTGGATTATGTGACATTCAGGGGTTTGAGGCTTGAGTGGGTACCTCTTGTTCTTGTGGATTGGGGATTTTTTGGTTGTTTTTTTTTTTTTTTGGGGGGGGGGGCTTTTAGAGAGAACCGTAAAATATTCTGATTGGTTTGAGTTTGAGATTTGTGGTATATGATGGTTAATAGGTGGGTGCGTGCTCTCTATCCTTTTGCTTACTAGGTTCCATCTCTAAAATAGAAATTTTAGTCACTGAGTATACAGTACCTTCATTAATTGTGACTTGAACCACAATGAATTATTATAATTTTAGTAGAGTTTTTATGGCCATCGCAACTGCATAAAGTCATATGAGTGCCAAGGGGTGGATGTAAACAGAGAAGTCTTTACAGGGAATCAGGCTTACTCTGCTCTCCTCTCTAGCTTCAACAGCACAAAGTTTGCTTCGACTATCAAGGTACCCCAAAAATAGAGGGTCACGAGAGTGTGACAAACATACAAAAGAAGTAGAGGAAAATGACTATAGTAAAGATTAGGAAAGAAAAAGCAGCAGTTCCCTGTTGTAGATCAGGCGCAGTTATGAGCATGACATTGATGAATCAGCCCATTTACAATTATTCTAATGTGCATAAGAACATGTTAATGTCCCCGCCTTTGGGAATGGCCAAAAGACACCTCAATTAGTAGCATCGCCCCGGGGGTGCAATATATTATTCTCCTCTTGACCCCCTTTTGAACTTGTTTCAGGGTCAGAAGACTTCTCACAATCTGCCAGTCTGCAGAAACTGCGCAGCGTCAACATGGCTGCTAAGCTGGAGGTCAAGGACTACTCAGGCCCATTGCTGTCTGACAGCGATCTCACCATCCCTGAAGAACAGGTATCTTGTGTACAGTCCAATGTTTGATGTCATCATGGTCATAGCGCAAAGAATAGCATTTGTTTTTGTTTTTTTCCCTTTTATTTACTTACTTTAAAAAAATAAAGTGTCCAGTTATAAGTCTGGTATAAAAAAAATGTGTTCTTATTTCAGAGGGGTCTGAAAATTCATTTGTTTAGACATATAGTTTTGCTCTTGTCATAAGGCTGACTTACAGTTGGACTGTTTTATTCTTCTTTTTTTTTAAAGTTTTCTCCATACCACCAAAAAAATGAGTTAAAGGTTTGTGTTATAACAGTGACAATATGTCATTATGTACTTGCAGTTGTTACCGTTAGTAAATATTAGCTACATTGTGGTGTGTTTTGTATCAAGAGTTTTTGGGGGGGGGTTTTGTGTTGTTGTTTTTTATATTTGATGTGTGTAGTTATTAAATAGCTTTTGTGTATTGCGGGACTTACTCAAACATATCACTACTGAGTTGCTTTTTGATAGTCTCCACCTTAGACATCCGCAACTTCACCCAGAGGTCACTTTAGCTGTGAGAAGCTCAGGGGTGGCATTTGTTGCAATGAGATGAGGAGTCACGAGTCACAGTGCTAGCTTAATTAATTGAGGTCAGGGGTCGACCAGATGAAATGAGCAGGTTGTTGGAGGGCACCACTGATTGGTAGGTCCTACTCTCCTTCTTCTTCCCCCCCCCCCCCCCACCCCCCCCTTTCTTTTCCATTTAATCTACTCCTTTCCCAGCCGGAACTTACCCATTTTTTGATTTTTGGCTCTCCTTCATCATTGTCAGATTTTATTTAGGTTTCAACTCCCACTTGCGAATTTTTTCTTTTTTCCCCCCCCCCCGAACTCAGTGGGGACCAAAGGCGGGTCACAAAGTGCAGCCCTCCCAAACACCTGGGGAAAAACCGTTGCCCTAATGCCCTTTGGGAGACCCGGGGTAGAGGTTCCCCTTTTTTTTTCTATTGGTGAGTTAACAATGTAAATCTTGTGCTTCTTTGGAAAGCTGTAAAAATTTTTCGGGTGGGGCCATTTTTTTTTTTTTTTTCAGGGGATTTTTTTTTGGGGGGGGGGGGGGGGGGGGGGGGTGATGGGTGATGTTTATGTATGTGAGATGATGTTTACGTGTGTGGAGATAATGTGTCTGTGGACGAGGGTGGTTACAGTGTATGTGTGGATTGAGGGATGGTTGTTTGGATGTTAGATTGGGAGGGTGGGGAGTTGTTTGCATAAGTCATGCACTGGTCTCTCTGTTCATGAGGTGACAGAATTTCTCTTGCCCTTTCAAAGGGAAACAACAGAAATTCTGTCCACTCATAAGCAGAGAGACCAGTTGCGACCCCTGGCCTATGACTTACACAGATAATTCCCCACTAATGTCATTTAGTAGTGAGGACATGGCGTGCAGTAGTTAGGAGACATCAAGTGACTCTGAGGACAGGTCATGTGGGAGAGAAATGCAGACTGTGACATATAGCAGCCAGTGGAGACATTGAGAGGTGTGACAGTTCACTTCTGGCATCTATGGTTAAGCATTGCTGGTAGAAAATGGGAGTACCGTTCCCATGCAAGATAGCCTTTTTTTTTAAAGGATATGTATTACGATGTGACGGAATTGGGCGCTCATCAATTTTTGGCCATTTGCAGTTATTGGTATCATCTTGAAGCTTGTTTATTTGTCTGTCTTTTGATGAAAAAAATGTGAATCTATCTTGAATAGAAGTCAAGGTAAAGTTAGCAAGAAAATGACCTCAAAAGTTTGGTGACTTCCTTGGCTTGAGAGTCCTTAGGAGACAGAAAATTTACATTTTTTGGTGTTTTTAATCTACTTTTTTCAGTAAAATCCTCCCAACAATGTTGAGCCAAAATACAAAAATTTGATGAAAATTGCCAAACCGGCGGGAAAAACGCCAACACCTTCAATTTCGTTGTTTTGATGTGCACCTAATTTCACCACGATGCCTCACGTATGTCTATCTGTTTGCTGTGTTGGCCCTGACTAGTAGAATCGAAGCAGCCCACCTCCTAACTGATCTAAATTGTGTTGAAAGAGGGGTAAAATATTTGTAATTTTTTTTTAGAGTTTGCTGATATGTCTCATCATGGTCTCCCCAGACGCTGTGATGTGTGCCACCTGTGACGGGGAAGTGAGGCCTTTGTCTGCCCTTGACACACCTGACTCTGCAGAGAGCCTGCACAGGTAGGCCTATGACACTCATGCAGTCTTACACACACACATACATACTTATCAACCAACCTATTGATTTACCTACCTACTTACGTACATACCTGCATACCTTCCCACATATGTGCACACATAAAGACACACGCGCGCACGCACACACAAACGCACACACACACACACACACACACAGACACACACACAAGGAGATTCTTTGGCCTCTGGTTTAGAAATTGGGACAACAAAATTGAAGACTTTCTTGAAATAGGAGAATGTTGATTTTTGCTGCTTCAGGGATTAAAACGAATTTTGCTTTGGGGACAAATGTGAATTGTCCTTTGGGAATGAACAAAAATTGTGCTTAAAGAACCAATGTGTACTGAAGGGAGGGGGGCATAGATGTGTGTATGGAATTATCACTTTGATATATACTTTGTACTATTATCTATCATTTTTCTATGCATCTATCTTTATGAATATGTATGTACGTGTTCATCTGTTTATCTATTTATGTATTTATCTATCTGTTATTTATAAGCATAAACATATATAGTTGTACAAATTAAGTCCAGTTTTTATTGTCTATGTACGTAAGTAGCCTTTTTCTGTGGTCATTACTGGTACATTGGCTTGTATTCAAATACAAGCGTCTCCCCCCCCTTGTTGTTTCTGTCCTTCTGTCTTGCTTTTTTTCCCAGCAGTAAATAACCATTATTGTGTGAATGTGTGTCTCGTTACTCAAAGTCAGTGTTATAATTAGGTTTTGAGTCACCACTTGTCGATATGTTCCTCTCTTCCCCACCCACCAGAACCAGCAGACGACCACAGACGGGTCACTAAATGCTGCACTTCTCAATGCCTTGGGGAAATACGCTGACCTGATGACCTATGTGAGACCAGGGGTAGAGGTTGCTGCTGGTTTATCTATTGGTGAGTTAACAATGTAAATCTTGTGCTTCTTTGGAAAGGTGCTGATATATGTCTGGTGTGTGCATGTTGTTATTTTATTTCAGAGGATATTTGATTGGCGGGGGGGGTGATGGGTGATGTTTATGTATGTGAGATGATGTTTACGTGTGTGGAGATAATGTGTCTGTGGACGAGGGTGGTTACAGTGTATGTGTGGATTGAGGGATGGTTGTTTGGATGTTAGATTGGGAGGGTGGGGAGTTGTTTGCATAAGTCATGCACTGGTCTCTCTGTTCATGAGGTGACAGAATTTCTCTTGCCCTTTCAAAGGGAAACAACAGAAATTCTGTCCACTCATAAGCAGAGAGACCAGTTGCGACCCCTGGCCTATGACTTACACAGATAATTCCCCACTAATGTCATTTAGTAGTGAGGACATGGCGTGCAGTAGTTAGGAGACATCAAGTGACTCTGAGGACAGGTCATGTGGGAGAGAAATGCAGACTGTGACATATAGCAGCCAGTGGAGACATTGAGAGGTGTGACAGTTCACTTCTGGCACTCATATGGCCTTATGCATTGCTGGTAGAAAATGGGAGTACCGTTCCCATGCAAGATAGCCTTTTTTTTTAAAGGATATGTATTACGATGTGACGGAATTGGGCGCTCATCAATTTTTGGCCATTTGCAGTTATTGGTATCATCTTGAAGCTTGTTTATTTGTCTGTCTTTTGATGAAAAAAATGTGAATCTATCTTGAATAGAAGTCAAGGTAAAGTTAGCAAGAAAATGACCTCAAAAGTTTGGTGACTTCCTTGGCTTGAGAGTCCTTAGGAGACAGAAAATTTACATTTTTTGGTGTTTTTAATCTACTTTTTTCAGTAAAATCCTCCCAACAATGTTGAGCCAAAATACAAAAATTTGATGAAAATTGCCAAACCGGCGGGAAAAACGCCAACACCTTCAATTTCGTTGTTTTGATGTGCACCTAATTTCACCACGATGCCTCACGTATGTCTATCTGTTTGCTGTGTTGGCCCTGACTAGTAGAATCGAAGCAGCCCACCTCCTAACTGATCTAAATTGTGTTGAAAGAGGGGTAAAATATTTGTAATTTTTTTTTAGAGTTTGCTGATATGTCTCATCATGGTCTCCCCAGACGCTGTGATGTGTGCCACCTGTGACGGGGAAGTGAGGCCTTTGTCTGCCCTTGACACACCTGACTCTGCAGAGAGCCTGCACAGGTAGGCCTATGACACTCATGCAGTCTTACACACACACATACATACTTATCAACCAACCTATTGATTTACCTACCTACTTACGTACATACCTGCATACCTTCCCACATATGT